AGGTCTAGCTCCCTCCCATCTGTTAGCACCAAGGTCTGAATTCAAATCGCATTTTTTCTCCTCCCTGGCTTTTTAAAATGCAGGCGAGTCTGTTCACGGATCTCCTTGCATCATGCCTTAAGAGATTCAAAGGCTGGTGCCACCTTGGTAGCACAGATTTTAGGAAGAGCACCTGTTGCCAGCTCCGGTACCGCTGGTTCAAATCTCAGCCTAGCCATAACACTCCCCAGGTGCCTTAAGCCAGCCACTTGAACTCCAACCCTCCGCCTCCTGTTTACAATATGGGGAACGCCGATAATTATACTGGTATGCCTTGCATAGCTGTTGTAAGGATTACTGAGATTACGTGTGTCACACATTTCAGGAAAAGGCCGCATCGGCCTTCTCCAGTCTGATGCCCTCCAGATCCAGCCAACATGGCCGTCCAGCCATACATATTCCCACCTGTTATCTCAGTCTAGTCATTAATACCTCAGGTGAGAGCACAACCTTGCTTGGAAACCATGCCCTTTGACCTGGAACAACCTCCCCCCAAATTTCAGGTAGCTCAGAGCAGTGCTGGTTTTACTTGGGGGTAGGGAGCACACTGTACATGCTCAGCAGGCCTCTTGCTCCTTTTATTATTCCCCTGTTCCATAGTTAAAACCAGGCTGTGAGACAAAACTCGTAACTTGGAGCCTTAGTCTTGAGCTCCGAATTTGTCCCGTAAAGATTTGTACCACGAAAAGTGTGTATCGTGCACAGACAGATATTGGGCACCCATTTCCTTTCCCAGAATGGGTTGGCCTCTCATCACCGCATTACGAGACAAAATTGCAGTTACCTTCCAGTCGACTCTCGTCAGCCTACAGCAACTTACCTCTTTAGCCCCGCTGCCAAGGATAAGAATATAAGGAAGAGCCAAAGGTTTGTTTACTCCCGTATCCTTCTCTCCCCCCAGCCCCAAAGTGCACAGCTAGATGTCTCTGGAAGGCCACAAGCGAGACGCAAAGGGCAATATCCATTTCTCGTTGTTGCTCCCTAGCAGTTGCTACTGAGACGCCTCTGAATCCGTAAGCTCCATATTATAATCCCTCCTAGTGGTGCCCCGATAAAACTGCAAAGCTAAGCAGGGTCTGGTATGGTTTCAAATTGGATAGGGGGACGACCACCCAATTGAGATCCCTGCATTGCAGGGGGTTGGAGTGAAGGACCCTTTCCAACCCTATAATCATGCCTAGGAGCTTGCGGTTCTTGAGAGAGGAATGCAGCAGAGTCAGTTCTGGGATGCAGAGGTTGAGACTTTGCCTTGCTTTGTGGGGATATGTTCTTAAAAGCTGAAGAAGAAACCTCCTGGTCCCATCTAGTCTGTTCTCTGAGTGCCTGCGGACATGAATACACAAGCATTCTTCATGAACAGTATCCCAAGCGTGAAGAAGCACCTCATTTTGTCCCGGATTGTCCAGGTTCTAGTACTTCAATGCTATCTTTCCAGGCTCTAGTATCAAGAGTTGCTTTTCCCCACACCCTGTCCCCTCTTGCGTACCTCAGTCCTTTCTTTGAATCAGGACGCCTCTGATTCTGGGGGGTGCTCTGTGCAAAGTGAGAGGGGAGCATTGTTTGAGGTGGTGAGCCCTCTTGCGGGATCCCAGCACTCACTGCCTTCTGTGGGTGCTAAAAAGGCGTTTGGGTGAAGCAGTGGTAAGTCTGGTGCTTACTCAAACCCAGGGGTCCTCCTCTAGTGGCAATGGCCATTCCGAGACTGAAAAGCGGCAGCTGTGCATTGTAGAAAGTGGTCCCTGCACAATTCGGCTTGCTCAGAGGACCATGTTGTATCTTTAGCGCTACCTTAAGAAAGGTGGGGCTCCTCTGCCTTGGCTCCTTGACACGTCTCATGTCCTGTAGCCCAGTGTTCCCCAACCTTGGGCCTCCAGCTGTTTTTGGACTACAATTCCCATCATCCTGACCACTGGTCTTGCTAGCGAGGGATGATGGGAGTTGTAGTCCAAAAACAGCTGGAGGCCCAAGGTTGGGGAACACTGCTGTAGCCCATCCTTCCTGTCCCACGCATGAGAGTCACCTGTGCTCTTGCAGCAAGCAGAAGGAAAACAGAATGCCAACTTCTTCCTTTTTTAACTTGTCTCAGTTGTGGTGTGTTTTTGACACCAGCCCGGTCTGCAAGCACTGGTAAGGTGACCAAGCTTCTTGGAAAAGCAGAGAGAGGACAGTTCCTCAGGTTATATGTCTTGGCAGCTCAGTCCCCCAACAGATTTCCATTGGAGCGTAAATGGCGGCAGGAACTTCTACAATGGGGGAATAAATTCTGTAGGAAGAAACTGCTCTTGGCACATGCCACAGCTCAGTGACGGAGCACCCGCTTTGCATGCAGAAGGGGGTTCGATCCCCAGAATCTCCAGGTAGGCCTGAGAAAATGCCTGCCTGAAATCCTGGACAGCCACTGCCAGTCAATGTAGTTATTGCCTGCACTGTAGACAGTACTGAGCTAGATGGAGCAATGGCCTGACTCACTGTAAGGTAGCTTCTTATTTTGGGGAGAGGGCTGCCTGAGGTGGGTGGGTGGGACTCTGCCTGTGTTTCCTTTCTAGTTTCTTGCTTCCCTGGTGCTCAGCATCTCACTTTCCCTTTTTTTCCCATTCTGGCCCAGCTCCGTTAAATGCACTCTCTCAACTGATTAATAATAATAATAAATTCTCCAATCTGGAAAGCTTGATGGACAAACCAGCCAGCCTGATTTTGTTGTTGTTCCATAGTATAATAATGTTATTGTAGATACTGTTCTGAGCAAAGTAGGAGTTTTATCATCAAATGAGAAGTTTTGTCTGTAAATAATCAGTTTAGATCCCAGATGACTTTATTACAGAGCAAAATTCTTACACGGTAATTCAATAAACTTTAATATACAACACAGAAGAAGGCTCGAGCTTCCAGTTCCTTAATGATGTGGGAGGTCTGATTGCCTTTTTTAAAAAAAAAAACTGGCTCTGCTCCTGTGTTTTTAACAGGATACATAAATTTAGAAACTGCAATTTTCCTAGCCTGTGTATTCTGCTGTGGAAAACCTCACCAGCTTAATTTCTGTGCCACACTGCTGTTAAAAAGCAGAGGATCAAAGCTAGTTTGTGTGTGTGTGTGTGTGTGTGTGTGTGTGTGTGTGTGTACCTTCTTGTGGGAGGAAAAGCTCTTGCTTTCATTTAACTGGTACTATTAAGAACAGAAGAGCCCTGCTTAGCCTCCTGTTCTCTTAGCAGCTAACCGGATGCCTGTGAGAAGCCAGCAAGCAAGACTCGAACTCACAACAACCACTCTTCCCACCTGCGATTCCCAGCAATTGGTATTGAGAGGACGACCATCTCCCAGGCAGTGTCAGCATGGCCAACTTGGATGGCTTTTAAGAGAGGGTTAGACACAAATATTGAGGATAAGGCTATCAAGGACTACTAGCCATGTAATTACTACCTACACTGGTGAAAGCAGATGAGCTTCAGCTGCTGGGAATCACAAGTGGGGAAGGTGGTGTTGTGTTGAGGTCCTCCTAGGCATCTGGCAGGCCTATGTGAGAAGAGGCTGCTGGACTTTAGAAGGGCCATTGGGCTCATCCAGCAGGGCTTTTCTGATGTTCTCACATGCGGTGACGTGGTCAGTGGGTTGGCCAAGGGGCTGGGAGAGATCAGGGTTCAAATCCCCACTCGGCAATGAGGCTCACTGGGTGACCTTGGGCCTGTCGTGGCCTCACAGGGTGGTTGTGGGGGATTAAATGAGGAGAACTCTGTAAAACCACATTGGGCTCCTTGGAGAAACAATGGAATAAGAATTAAATAAATTTTAGCCTCCTCCACAAATTTGGCTGATCCTCTTTTAAAGCCATTCTGCTAGATGGACCAATGGCCTGACTTTATATTAAGGCACCTTCCTATGTAACCTCTGATGTGACCATCTATTATTATTATTATTATTATTATTATTATTATTATTATTATTATTATTATTATTACTACTACTACTACTACTACTACATCTATTATTATTACCATCCCCAAAGTTATGGAGCTCAGCTTTGGGGGGGGGGGGAGATCACGGGTCAAATTCCTGTCCAAAAAGAGGACATCACGGGGGACAGGCTTTTGTCACACTCCGTTAATTGAGTATTTTTTTAATAAACTTTATTACATTTTCAGAATTTGCAAAGAACAAATAAAAAGAATAATTTGATCCTCAACTACATAAGGTAAAAACAGGGGTTACAAAATACATGGTAGAAGATGTAAGATAAACTGAGTAACATTAAAAAAGAAAAAAGGAAGGGGGGGAAACCAAAACAAAATGACAAAAACTAGGAAAAAATATTTTTCTAAGACAAACATTTAGGAAGTTCAAACCAATACTTGGATATTCTGTACACAAAGTCCTTCCAACTGGTTTGAGTCCCTTATGAGTTTGTCTATCTCTTCGTGGTTTGACTCTGCTATTAGAATTAAATAATCTGTGTTTTATTGTTTATCCAAACAATAGGAATAATTTTTTTCCCTTTTCTGTGAAATTAAAATAAACACAGCCAAGTGTTATTATTGGCACCGTATTTATTCAGATAATTTTGGAAGCATCCCCATTCTTTTTTGACCTTATCTGCCGAGTGGTAATTGAGTATTTTTAATACTTTTCAATGATTTTTGAGGATGCAGTTGCCCACCCCCCCTTGACTACGCCCCTGATTAACACGGTGTTATACGGCATTAAAAATGAATTTAAAATGAAGGCGTGTGGATTGAAGAGTCACACCCCGGGGTTTCCCGCGTGTTTTACAAAGGCTCCTCGAGGCCCCGCTCGGCTGCGGCTTCGCACTGCAGAGAACGCGGCGCCCGGGAGGGCGGCTCCCTTCTCGCCGCGCGGCAGCCATTGCAGGCGGCGCCTCCTCCCTCGGGGCGGGAGCGGCGCGGAGGAAGGAGGCTCGGCCGCCTTTCCCCCGGGGCCTTGAGGGAAAGCCCTGGGAAGCGGCCTCCCCGGGGCGGAGCGGCGCCGCCGACGGGACTCGCAGCGCCCGCCTCTCGCTCCGAGATGGCCGGCCGCGTCTCTCCGAGCCGGTGCCGGGCGTAGCGCGGGCGGGTAAGCGGCCCAAACGGGGAAGGAGGGAGGGTTTCCGGGGAGATGCAGGGCGGCCACGACCCATCTTGGCGTTCAAAGGAGCAATGCATGGCGCAGGGTAGGGGTCGAAGCGGGTTTTAATCCGGATCCGCTCGCCGCGCCGGATGCAGCGGGGAGGGAATGTTGCAGCTGCGAATCGGTGCAGCGGGAGCCTCTTCTTCTGCATCGCGGACAGAGACGTCTCTTGCCGGCCCCAGATCAGCTTCCCCCTGTCCCTCCTGCGAAAGCTTGGGGTGAATCCATTTCGAAGGTCCTTCCCCTGAGCTCCGATGGGTGCGTAGTCTGGTAGTAGTAATGGGTCGGTTAGGGCTGCTGCACTCTGCACATGTTCAGAAGTGCGCTCGACACCCAGGGCTGAGCGCGGGTCTTAAGCTCCAGTACCCCTGAGCTCGTTTCGCTGACTCTTTGGAGCCCTGGGCTTCTGGTGCAGGAGGCTTGAGCTGAGTTAAGGTATAGGTGCCAACTCCCTGGGTGCCGGATTTACATATAAGCTAAACAAGCTATAGCTTAGGGCCCCACTCTCTTGGGGGCCCCCCAAAAAATTCACTATTAATATACTTCTTCTTAATTGTATTCCAGTTCAACAATTGCTTTGATAAAATACATATTTTGTTAAGTTCAAATGGCTTTAGATACCAATTAGGTTCATAAATTACCATATAGCATATATTCAAGACAAAAAAAACCAGTGACAGTATGTTGTTGACAAAGGACAGCTGGGCATATAAAGGGCCCCATTACCTTCAGTAGCTTTGGGCCTCATCAAACCTAAATCTGGCCTTGCCAAGCTCCCACAAAATTTCCCATGAAGGGGCCAGGCACCCACAAATTTCGGCGCCAGGGCCATGCACACTGCATGGCACCCACAGTCGTTGGGCCAAGCTGGCACTCCTGGGTATGGGGCAGGGCTGTGTTCCTAGTGGGATTGACAGATGACCACAGGGGTGCCAATTTGAATAAAATATGGGGGGGAGGAAGCCCCGCCCTGCATAATTGATCACATGATGGGGCACACCCACACTATTTGAACGGCAGTGCGCATCAACTTGGGGGAGGCAAATTTTATTGGGATGGGAAGAAGGATGGCGATCTGTCAGGGATGCTTTAGCTGAGATTCCTGCATTGCAAGGGAATGCAGTGACTCTTGGGGTCCCTTCAAACTCTTATGATTCTATGAAGGGACCTCGGCCCCTTGGAGTTGGCTTCTGTGGTTGACCATGTCTGCTCCACTCTGTCCCTGAGAAGCCGTGGTATGGCTGAAGCGGGGAAAAAGAGAGAAGGGGGGGCATAGTAGAGAGGAACTCTGTACATGGGTAGGAGTGCTTTTGCCAATTGCTACAACTGGCAGAAAAATCATAAAGTGGTCTGCCAAGACCCTCAGCAGTTTCAAAGTAGTTCTGGGAAGACACTGCGGTAGAGAGAATCTGGTCATTGGGTCTTATGCAACACATAAGGGTGCTTAACCTCTCCCCTGTTCTCTTATCACCAACCTGAAGATCAATGCACCCCCCCAGTCCACACAGGGGACGCAGGTGGCGTTGTGGTTTAAACCACTGCCGATCGGAAGGTTGGCGGTTCGAATCCCCTCAACGGGGTGAGCTCCCGTTGCTCTGTCCCAGCTTCTGCCAACCTAGCAGTTCGAAAGCACACCAGTGCAAGTAGATAAATAGGTACCACTGTGACGGGAAGATAAACAGCGTTTCTGTGTGCTCTGGCACTCATCACGGTGTCCCATTGCGCCAGAAGCGGTTTAGTCCTGCTGGCCACATGACCCAGAAAGCTGTCTGTGGACAAACACCGGAAAGCGAGATGAGCGCCACAACCCCAGAGTCGCCTTTGGCTGGACTTAACCGTCCAGGGGTCCTTTACCTTTACCTTACCATACAGGGGAAGCCTTTGCATGTGGACAGAGGGAGGACGGACGGAGATGGGCTTCTACATCAGCTCCCTCTCCCGAGCGCCCTACGGCAATGGGGCACCGCCAGAGTCCTCGCGCCCCGCTGCCAAGCGCTACCAGGCGGCGCCCAGCTACAACTACAGGTGGACGGAGCTGCACTACGAGGCCAGCCGTGGCAATGTGGAGAAGCTGAAACAACTGCTGCTGACCTCAAGTGTGTGTCCTATATAACGTTTCCAGGTTGCACGTAGGGCTAAAAATGGAGCAAAACCCCATAACAATATTGCTGTACCACCCCAAACAAGAGGGAACAGGAGGCAAAGGGTGGTTGTAGTCCACTCCTAATCCAGGCCATTATGTATGGCATAGAGAAAGCCAGAGAAAAGTTGTCCTTCCTCCCTCCTAACCCTGGGAACTCGTGAAGCTGAATGTTGGAAGATTTGGGATGAATAAAAGAATGCCCTTCCACAGTTAAACTGTGGAACTCACTGCACCATGAGGCAGCATGGCCACCGACTTGGGTGGCTTTAAAGGAGGATTAGACGAAAGTCACGGAGGGGAGGGCTATCGAGGGCAACTGGCCGCGTTGGATAGACCAGGGGTCAGCAACCTTTTTCAGCCATGGGCCGGTCTACCATCCCTCAGACCATGTGGTGGGCCGGACTATATTTTTTTGGGGGGGAAATGAACGAATTCCTATGCCCCACAAATAACCCAGAGATGCATTTTAAATAAAAGGACACTTTCTACTCATGTAAAAACATGCTGATTCCTGGACCGTCTGCGGGCTGGATTGGGAAGGCAATTGGGCCGCATCCAGCCCAGAGCCTTATAATAATAATAATAATTAATAATAATTTATACCCTGCCCATCTGGCTGGGTTTCCCCATCCACTCTGGGCGGCTTCCAACAAAACACTAAAATAGTGGGTTAGACTCTACCTCCCCAGTGATGCTTCCGGGTACCAATTGCTGGAAACCACAGGTGGGGAGAGGGCTCTTGTGCTTGGGTCCTGATTGGGGGGCATCTGTGAGAACAAGATGCTGGACAAGACTGGCCCAATCCGGCCGGCTTTTCTTAAGTCCTCAGTTTGTTTCCATGTTGCACTGGTTTTTTTTGGAAGGTGCTCATCTCCCCTTTGGTTTCAGGCAGGGAGCTGGTGGACAGGAAAGATTATTATGGCAAGACGGCCCTCTACTGGGCGGCCTACAAGGGGCAGAGGCATTCGGTGGAGCTGCTCTTGCAGCACGGCGCCAACGTCAACACCTGCTGCAAACATGGGGGGACCCCTCTCCACGCAGCCGTCGGCCTCTTCCCCGACTGCACCCTGCTGCTGATCCAGGTAACGTCGTCAAAGGTGCTGCTCCGTATCATCTTGTCCTGCAGCAAGTGGTGTTTGCTTCCTTCCATGGAAGCGGGACGCGGGTGGAGCTGTGGGTTAAATCACAGAGCCTAGGACTTGGCGATCAGAAGGTCGGCGGTTCGAATCCCCGCGACGGGGTGAGCTCCCGTTGCTTGGTTCCTGCTCCTGCCAACCTAGCAGTTCGAAAGCACGGCAAAGTGCAAGTAGATAAATAGGTATCGCTCCAGCAGGAAGGTAAACGCCGTTTCTGTGCACTGCTCTGGTTTGCCAGAAGCGGCTTAGTCATGCTGGCCACATGACCCGGAAGCTGTACGCCGGCTCCCTCGGCCAGTAAAGCGAGATGAGCGCCGCAACCCGAGAGTCGGTCACGACTGGACCTAATGGTCAGGGGTCCCTTTACCTTTATGGAAGCCTTAGGGAAAGGGCCATCGTCCAGGGGTTAAGCCCCTGCCTTGCATGCAGAAGGCCCCACGTTTAATCCTGGCATCTCTTAAGGCGGGACGGGAAAACCTCCTTGTCCGGAGAGCTGCTGCTGCCAGTCAGTGCTGGTGACACTGAGGTAGGTGGGCCAATAGTGTAAGGCAGATTTCTCTGCTCCTAATCCGCATCCCTGCTGCTAGGATCCAGAGGGGCATGGTGGCCTGTTGACAGGTATAATAATAATAATAATAATAATAATAATAATAATAATAATAATAGTTAATTATTTGTGTATTGATTGTGGTCTGACTTCATTTACTTATTACAAGGCATTTCATTATTATTTTGTTTTAAAAAAAATATTAGTTTTACATTTTAATTTTACATTCAAACATAAAATACCACCATAAAATAATTCTCTGACTTCCTTCCTCCCCTCTGTGGAGTCCGCAGATAGTCACTTTCCGCTGCGTATCATATCGTCATCTGTCTATCCAATATATTCAATATTAACTGAAGTTCTTTTTCACATTGCAAGTGTTATTGCAGTCCTAATATTTTTAAACTGTTTACAGTGTTCTCTCAGATAAGCTACACATTTTCCCCAGTCTTTATTGACGTTTTTATCATCCTGGTTTCTGATTTCCCCAGTCGTTTTAGCCATTTCGGCGTAGTCCATCAGTTTTGTTATCCATTCCTCTCTTGTATAGGGATCTTCTCTTCCTAAGAGTATCCGCGCTGCCGTTGTTGCGTACATAAACAGCTTTTTTTGCTCCCTTGGTATTTTTTGCTCCACGAGGCATTTCAAGCCAGCTTCCTCCATTCCTAGCTGCCATTCCTGAGAGTGGCAGGAGGAAGGGAGGGCAAATTCAATCACTGCAGGAAATTATTTACACAGAAGCTGTTCTGCTTGGCCTGTGGTGGGTGGAGGGGGAATCGGGTACCTGTTGCATCCGATTCGGTCCTAAAGATGCCCAGGATGGACTTATGGACTTTGCTCACACCATATGGCTTCAGCAAGCCAGGACATGGGGGGGGGTGAGGTATGTGGTGCTAATGACTTCTTGTTTCTCCTCAGCACGGCGCAGATGTGAATCTGAAGGACAACTGGGGAGTGACCCCCATGTACCTGGCTGCTTGCAGTGGACAGACAGAGTGCATCCGATTGCTGGTGCAGGCTGGGGCCTGCATCTGCTACAGAAATAAGGTAGCCCATTACTAAAGACCAGGGGTCAGCAAACCTTTTCAGCAGGTGGCTGGTCCACTGTCCCTTTGACCTTGTGGGGGGCCGGACTATATTTTTTTGGGGGAAAGAACGAATTCCTATGCCCCACAAATAACCCAGAGATGCATTTTAAATAAAAGGGCACATTCTACTCATGTAAAAACACGCTGATTCCTGGACCGTCCGCGGGCCGGATTTAGAAGGTGATTGGGCCGGATCTGGCCCCCGGGCCTTAGGTTGCCTACCCATGCTAAAGACTGTGGGAATGTCCAGGGAGGCAGGAGAGGATATATTGTTTATTAATTTCCTTCCTAACTTGCGCTAGCAAGTTCCTTTACTTAGCAGAGTTTCACATTCCCCTGGTAGCTGGCTGCAGGCTTGTGTAAGCCTCTCACTACAGTGGTACCTCTGGATACGAACAGGATCCGTTCCAGAGTCCCGTTCACATCCTGAAGTGAATGCAACCCGCGCATGCGCGGGTCACGTTTTGCCTCTTATGCGCATGACATCATTTTGTGCGCATGCGCGAGTGGCGAAACCCAGAAGTAATGCATTCCGTTACTTCCGGGTCGCTGCGGAGCGCAACCCGAAAACAATCAACCTGAAGCAACTTCAGCCTAAGGTATGACTGTATTGGGTTTCTGGTCAGTTCCCTTATATCCCTCTTAAAAGAATGAACATGCCACAATCTTGTGTAAAGTATATAAACGTAGTTTACTCACATTCTGTTCACAGTTGGATGCCTGAAGGCAGACTTAGTTACAAAGTACCGTAAATTTCGCTCTATAACACGCAGATTTTTTCTCCTAAAAAGTAAGGGGAAATGTCTGTGCATGTTATTGAGCGAATGTGTGGTCCCTGCACCAAAAAAATCACGCACCCACTGTTGTCTAGGGTCACAGCGGTGCAAAAACGTGGTTACAAAGCATGGATCCACATGGATCCTCAGGATTTTTGCATTGGGCTACTCCAAACTCACTGTCAGATCACATGTCTGTGGCCACAGCATGAACCACAAAAATCATACATCCACTGTTTCATTTAGAATATTTTTTTTCTTGTTTTCCTCCTCTAAAAACTACGTGCGTGTTATGGTCTGGTGTGTGTTATAGAGCGAAAAATACGGTATATACATGTGGAGCTATCCCATATGGAGATAATCCCAGTGTCCTCTGTTGGCTGGAAGCTTCAGGATGAGAACAGAAATTGTGCGGCAGCAGTAAGAGGCCCCATTAGCTAAAGTGGTACCTCAGGTTAAGAACAGTTTCAGGTTAAGAACGGACCTCCAGAACAAATTAAGTACGTAACCCGAACTTCCCAACAACAATAAATATTATAATTATAATAGTTGATAGCAAATAATAAAAATAAGTAATAATAATAATTATATCTAATTCCAAGGTGGCAAAGTTCCTCTGTGTCCCAGGTTACCTTCCCTGCTACACTGCCATTCTTCCACCTGACCTCTCGCCACCCAAACCGAAGAATTGCCTGGAGTGCCAGCCCAACTCAGAGTAGACCCTTTGGCGCTAAGGAACAGGGCTAACTCACGTACACTAATTTCAGTGCGCCTCCTCCAAGTAGGACTTTGGGAACGCAACCCGAAATGCTGTTTTTTTCCTCTTTCCTGGCTGCAGAAAACAGGAGCCCCTCCCAAGCGCCTCGTCTCGCAACCGGCGTTGATGTCCTGGATGGATTCCTGCCGCCAGCAGCCCCTTTCCCTCAAACACCTCAGCCGCCTCTCCATCCGGACTGCCCTGGGCCACAGGAGGCTCCAAGCCATCAGGGACTTCAACCTCCCTCCGCTGCTGAAGCAATACCTTATGTTTGAAGACCTGGCTCTCCTCGACGGGTTGTAGCCTTGCGGGCGCAGAATCGGCTCCTCCGGCTGGCGCTGTTTCTCCGCCGCGGAAGGGCCAGCCGGAGCCTTTTCCTTGCCCGGCGTATGTCGCCTTTGTGTTTCGACTGAGGTGCCGGCGTCGCCATCACACACAGAAGTCGGGCTCTCCAAGAAGGAGACGAGGGGCCGAGATTACAACTTTTTTTAGTTTAGGAGGAAAAGGCGAGCGAAGGGAACACGCTAGAAAGGCGCATAAAGCGATGTGTAGCGCAGATAAAGAGAACAAAGATGTTTTTCCTCCCACAAGGACCCGGTCGTACAAGGAAGCTCAGTGCTGGGAGACTCCTTTGCACGGCGCATTGTTAAAACGATGGGGTTTGCTGCCAGAAGATGCTGCGACGATCACCAAACTGGGTGGCTATGAGAGGGGTTTAGATCACTTCGCGGAGGGTAAGGTGGTCAATGATCACATGGGATCAGAGGCATGATTCCTCCGACTAGTGAGAGGACGTGTGTTGCGTTCATGTCCTACTTGCAATTCCCAGGGGCAACTAGATGGTCACTTTCTGAAAGCGGTTGTTAGCCTAGATGGGTTTGATCTGGGGGGGTGGGTGTCTTATGGTCTTGCGAGTCACTTCTTTCCTTATTGGCACTCCTTCATCTCTTCTGCTTGGCATTTGGATGGCCGAATTGCCTTCCTGGATCAGACCTCTTGTTCCTGACAAAACCTGATACTGCTGGGAAGCTTGTAAACTGGGGGCAGGGTTGCAGCCTTTTTTGGCAGAGTAAGTAAAAAAATAAAGGGACCCCTGACCATTAGGTCCAGTCATGGCCGACTCTGGGGTTGCGGCGCTCATCTCGCTTTATTGGCTGAGGGAGCCGGCGTACAGCTTCCGGGTCATGTGGCCAGCATGACGAAGCCGCTTCTGGCGAACCAGAGCAGCACACGGAAACGCCGTTTACCTTCCTGCCGGAGTGGTACCTATTTATCTACTTGCACTTTGACGTGCTTTCAAACTGCTATATTGGCAGGAGCAGGGACCGAGCAACGGGAACTTACCCCCTCACGGTGATTCGAACTGCTGACCTTCTGATCAGCAAGCCCTAGGCTCAGTGGTTTAACCCACAGCGCCACCTGCACAGTATGTAGGCCTGATCTTTCCTCTCTCCGCATCCCAACGTTGACAGGTGGACGAGGTCAGCTGCCTCTCAGCCATCTGACATCGTGATGACTGATAGGGGGTTGGTCCCACCCACCTGTCAAATGTTGACCTACCTGCGGTGGTGATGGAGTAGTCCGATTCAAAGCGGCCTCAAGCAGGATTGAACTCTCTGCTCGCCAGCTGATGAGCAGCAGGTCCAATCCTGCACTCTAGTGAAGTGGCACCCAGCAGGACTCAACCCTACTCCCCTGCCTATCAGGTGGTGTCATCCGGTGACATCAGCTGATGGGCAGGTGGACATGGTTATGGGGAAATGGCCTTGTGGGACTACTTGAACCCTTGGCTGGTTGTCCGGGGAGGGGGGGAGATTCCTCACCCCTTTTGTAAGCAGAGCATGAAGGTGATGCCTTACCTTCTCCTGCTGCTTGCCCCTATTATCTCTAGCTGACTCCACGTGCATTTTAGATCAAGGGAAAAGCAGGCTTCAAGCATGCAAGACCTACTTTAAGAACAAAACAAGCCAGATCCACAAACCAGAGCCAGGTGCGAAGAGACACACTGTTAGTATTAGAGAATTCCAAGCCTAGGAATTTGTTTCCACGTACCACAGAACTGAACTGGGCTCATAGTCCTTCCATACAAAAACAAAACACAAATAAAGCAAAGCTACTCCTTTGCCCCCTCCCTCAACCCCCACTGTTAATCAGCGGGGAGTAAGAAATTCTTGTAAGAAATCACCCAGAGATCTTCTGGTCCAGGATAGTAAGAAGTGTTAACCTGGAAATTTTCCAGCCATTTCCATAGGATAACTTAATCCAATAAGCTAAAATCTAACATGGGTGGATTAGCTTTGGCTCGTAACCAAGAGGAAGGAAGGCATACCATATGGTATCTGTAATGTCCTCAGATCTGTACTTGAATTTAGACACCAATTCTCTATTACCCCTAAGATGAGAAGGTGTACGTTGATGGGCTTTCTTCAGTTCATCTTCTCCAGTGTGCAGTTTTTGGAAGAAGGGTTGGTGGTCACGTCCCAGTTCTGGAAGAACTTGAGAACCTCTTCCACTTATACCACCAGAGTGGAGTAGCAGCCATATAATCCATTACATTTGCTCCTTTGTAAGAAAAGTGAATTCTCCCTTCTCATCCCCTTTTGCAAAACCATTCAACAAAGATTAGCTTTGACTAATAAACCGACCAGAACCTCTCAGGACTTGATTTGGGAGTCCCTGGAATTCCTGATCACTCCAGTTTAAATGTTCACTTCTTTTCCCACCAATTCTGGCATTAAAATTAAAATTTCTAGGAACTTCTTGCCCCAATTGCTACAAAAAATTATCCACGTTCGGCCATACGTCCCAGTCGGCAAAGGGTGATGAAGTTAGGTTGGATATGCGCCTTGATTACAAGAAAAGCTATCATTTGATACCTTAACTATCCAAACTACTGCATAACTATCCACTGGAAGATTCTTGTTCTAATTGATGTTGAGATTAATAAAGCTAATTCATCCCTGGGATGACCTCTCTCTTTTTTCTTTCTTGAACCTGCCAGCATTGAAACGGTCTTGTATCTGGAGAAATCAGTTTGTATCTCAGCAGCTTGGACCTCCTCTGTCTCTTCACCTGTTCCTTTTGCTTGTATGTTGGCATCTGTCTGTCTTGAGAGACAATGGAGGAATGCGCCTTGGGGGGTGAGGTCAAGCTGTTGGAAAGTTGCAGCGCCTGTTGTGGCTGTAGAGACCAAAGCAGGAGAGACATGTTTTGTTTCAGCTGGGGCAGATGAAGGTGTCCAGTTTTCCTGTTGTTACAGGGGCACCATGGTGTTTCTTCTCCCTGTGCTCCTCCCAGAGGTCATTTCTCCTCCGGTCACTGCTATGGATATACAACTTAACTGTCTGTCTCCATGATAATACCTTAATTTGATCTTCTCTTAGCCTCATCTGCTGCCAAAGGTGTGTATGTAATGCACATTGCAGTTTTAAAAACTCTTATATCAAAGGCTTACTACAACTGTTTCGGGTTTTTTTGTGTTTGCTTTTCCCTGGGTTGTTATTGTGTGCACGGAATTTTAAATTTTGCTACCTTGCTGCTTTTATGTTCACTTCGTTCATCTGCTCTTCTTCTTCTTTGGTGATCACTCGTAGCCGAGTAAGATTGTCTTCCATAAACACGGTTTTAACATATAGGTAGGTAGCCGTGTTGGTCTGCCATAGTCGAAACAAAATTTAAAAAAACCCTTCCAGTAGCACCTTAGAGACCAACTAAGTTTGTTATTGGTATGAGCTTTCGTGTGCATGCACACTTCTTCAGGTATCTGAAGAACAGTTTTAACAATGAGTCTGTAAGTGATTGCGGATTGTGGAGGCCAATTCTGGATCCACACGTCCTTCCACAGTGGGGACATTGGTTTCCAGGCAGGAGTTGATCACGGTGTGGAATTGCCAAGTGTGCCTTCCTCTTAGCATGTTTCTCCCTTGGGTCCTGAGTTTGAGTGTCTTCAAAGCCCATGACACCTTTGGTAAAGGCTGTTCTCCAATTGGCGCGCTCGCAGGCCGGTGCTTCCCAGTTATCGGTGTTTATGCTACATTTTTTTTAGATTTGCCTTGGGAGAGTCTTTAAACCTCTTTTGTTGACCACCAGCATTACTACGCTACTATCAAGCCACAATAACCAAAGCTTTTGGGGCTTATTAACCTTTGAACTAGCCTGGGGAAATGAAAAGGTCAGTAAGGCCACAATGTGATGGATTGGCAGGTGAGCCTTTCTCAAGAAGGCATTCCACAAGCAGGGGACCACAACTAGTGGCAATAATAATAATAATAATAATAATAATAATAATAATAATAATAATTTATTATTTGTACCCCGCCCATCTGCCTGGGCCTCTCCAGCCACTCTGGGCGGCTTCCAACAAGGATGAAAGATACACTAAAATTTCACACATTAAAAACTTCCCTGAACAGGGCTGCCTTCAGATGTCTTCTGAATGTCAGGTAGATGTTTATCGCTTTGACATCTGATGGGAGGGCGTTCCACATGGCGGGCGCCACTACCGAGAAGGCCCTCTGCCTTGTTCCCTGTAACTTGGCCTCTCGCAGTGAGGGAACCGCCAGAAGGCCCTCGGAGCTGGACCTCAGTGGCTAAGAGACTGAGCTACAAATCAGGAAAACTCCGCATTTCCATGTTAGGTGGGCTTAGAAAATCTGTCACAGAAGACAAGCATGCTGCTGCTCCCCTTGTCTGGAGCAAGGTTTCATTAAACAGCACAATGGAGTGGCCCTTTTTTTGATGGTGGGGAGGATAAGTAATCATTTGACTAGATTGGGGTGGGGAATTATTTTCAGTCTCAGGGCCACGTTCCTACCTCTGAGCCTGATGAACATGCTAACCACCTGAATTTTTAAAAGAAATATTTTTTTAAAAAATGAAAATCAGCATTGGATTTTATTTCCCCCCCCCCCAATTTTTAAAATTGATTTTCACAACATTATAAAACATAAAACATAAAACAAACAAACATAAATCATAACCTTCTTAAAAATTACACTCATTAACATTATTAAATTACTTCCTTGCTCCCCCTTGGTTGAATTTTATTGCATCTCCTTTTAACGGTTTTCCAACTCATAGTTCTTAAAATAATTTAACTTAAACATTAACACATCCTTAGATCTTCACAGTATGAAATTAAACCTATTAATTCATCACTTAACTTAAATAAAATCCTAAGCCAATTAAGTATCTGCAAGCTGTTTTCAGTTAGTTTAACATGTTTAAGTAATCATTAAATTTGCTCCAATCTTCCTGATACTCCTCCTCCTTCTGGTTGTGGACTCTTCCGGTTAGGTCGGCTAGCTCCGAAAAATCCATCATCTTCATCTGCCATTCATCTATCGTTGGTAATTCTTGGGTTTTCCACTTTTTAGCTAACAAAATACGAGCCACAGTTGTGGCATACAAAAATAATTTTACATCTTTCTTGGGCAATTCCAAACCTGTTATTCCAAGAAGAAAGGCCTCTGGTTTCTTTATAAATGTATATTTCAACATTTTTTTCAATTCGTTATATATCTTTTCCCAGAAGTCTCCCTTGGGGCAGGTCTACCACATATGATAAAATGTTCCTTCCTTTACATTTCCAACATAGATTATCACAGTTATGATATATCTTTGCTAATTTTACAGGAGTCAGATACAATCTGTACATCATTTTCATTATATTTAACTTTAATGAGGTGAACCTGACTCCTTTCTTCCATAGTCTTTCCCAATCCTCAAACATTATATTATGTCCTACATCTCTTGCACAATCTATCATCACAGATTTAACTTATTCATCTTTTGTAGAAAATCAGCATTGGATTTTAAGCCAGGTTTTGGGTGTTGTCATTAGCAGAATGAAAGTAAGAGGAAGCAAGAGTTCTCCCTGCAGCAGGAAAATACATGGAGCGGCTTCTTCTAGTAGGCATGTCTGAATGCACCCCGAGAGTTCACAAGCGCAGTTGCTGAGGCCGTTTCTTTAAAAAACACACACACTGCCTTGACATCACTGTTTTGCCATCAGAGTTAATGGTTGTCTTGGTTCTTAATTTTCAAGGCAGAAGCG